CCGGTGCGCAGGTTCAACAGCCGCACTGCTGTGTGGTCCGTCGCATACAGCACGTACTCACCGGAGGGGTGAAACACACCGGATCGAATAGGGTACGTGTCGTGAAGCTTGTGCACTACCCTGTTATCGGGTTGACTGTAGTCACGTACAAACAGATCCCCCTCACGTCCACCTGTAAGCAGCAGTGGCTGTGAAGGATGAAAGTGCAGAGCCTCGACGGACTGCGTATGCTCGTGAAAACGACGAGCCTCCGACAGCTCTGTAATTTTATTACTCGCGTTTCGAACGCCCACAGGGTGTCCGTTACTGCTGCCATCCAGCCCACGGAATTGGTTTTCCTGACGAACCTCCTCCAACGCCATGAGATCCTCGATAGTCTTTAGCGAAAACACAACACACAGCCCGTTTGTGCCGCCACATGCTACAAGAGAGCCGTCAGGCGACATGGTGATACGACGCACCACACCTCCCAGCGACGAAGTGGTAAAGCGCTCCTGCATCTTGTACGCCATCTGTCCCACCGTTGCGCTTTCTGAGAGATTAAGCGGTATGTACAGCTTGGACGCACTCAGGTAGCGCTCAACCACCTCGTATTTTGAATAATTCTCCATCTCGGTAATATTACTCGCCTCTTGCGACAAACCCATCGAGACGAGCCTCGACAAACGGTGCCCATTTTCCTCCAACCTCGGCACCACAACGCCTGTGGCATCCGCCACCGCTGTCGCCGCCGCCAAATACCCATCATGATGCAGCTGTCGAATCATCATTTGGTACAGCTGACGGGAAAAATTCTGCCGCAAACACGCAACACGAGGTCGCTTCCGAGCAGGTGCACCGCCATGATCACCGGTGTTCGAGGAATGATGCTGCGTCCCCGTACCAGCGTGAGTTGCGTTCTTACCAGATGCTTCACCCGACATTATACCCGCGACACTAAAACACAAAAAAAAAACAGACGAAAAATAAAGTCAATCAACAAAAAAAAAAGACATCATAAAAACAAACTTTCCAAAGCTCCTCAAAATATACACCACTCAGGCAAAAATCCACCCACAATAGTCTCTAACCACGAGGATCTAANGTCGGCATCTCGCCACACCGATTGGACGCCGCGCCACCGAGTCGGCGTCGTCCTGCCCGGGGCGGCTACGTGCAGCAATTAAAACCACACCCGTAACACACACACACACACACACACACAGGTGGCACAGCGAAGCGGCGTTCGTCGGTTTGCGGACCTCATACCCATTTCGTTGGTGTAGTATAGTTGTGTAGCTCGCATCGTGTCGTAATCATCAAGGATCGTTAGGTGGAAGACGCGTCGCTAATCACCGGTCCCTCCGCACGGCCGATACCCACACCGCCGCTGGCAGTGTGGGCGGGGAGATAAGAGGAGAGGAGAGAATGGGCGCCATACGTCAGCTGGTGTTCTTAGATTCCGTTAGCTCACTCATGGGGTTCGGCAAATGTGCAAACGTTCATCTGTCATCATGTGCGGCGGGCAGAGCAGAGGGGCGTATATGGCGAGGAGGAGATCGAGGAGAAGCGCCGCGTCAGTAATACGAGTAACAGTTGAGGTAATGCGCACGGCATCGTGTCATCGACTCGCGGAATCCGCATTCAGATGGTAATTCCAATTTTCAAACATCATCTGCGGCGGCTTCATCTCCTTCCTCCCTCCATTCCCACTTCACTACCACCACGGGTGCCACCATGGTGTGCGAGGGGCTGGACGCGGTTAGGGGGCGGGGTGGGCGTTGTCAGCTGGTAGTGCATGTTATCGTTTGTTTCCAGTCATGCGTAGCGCTCGGAGTGAGTATTGAATTGTGTGCATCATTTGCGTCACACGAGACGGTGCCTCTCGCACGTGCTTCGTACCGTCGCACCGCACCAGCAGCGGGGACGCATAGCGACACTGCTTCGGCGTGGGCGTCGGTCGGGAGCAGAGGAAAAGGGAGAAAGAGGAGGAGGAGGAGGGGGGGGGGAGCGTGCGCTGTCAGAGATTGTTCACCCGTTAAGTACAGTAAATGAAAAGGACGCGCACGGCCTGACGGCTGCGCGGACTGCCTGCGGCAGCCTCTGCACTCCTCATCACACAGCACAGTATACACACAGCATGTGTCGGCATCTCGCCACACCGATTGGACGCCGCGCCACCGAGTCGGCGTCGTCCTGCCCGGGGCGGCTACGTGCAGCAATTAAAACCACACCCGTAACACACACACACACACACACACACAGGTGGCACAGCGAAGCGGCGTTCGTCGGTTTGCGGACCTCATACCCATTTCGTTGGTGTAGTATAGTTGTGTAGCTCGCATCGTGTCGTAATCATCAAGGATCGTTAGGTGGAAGACGCGTCGCTAATCACCGGTCCCTCCGCACGGCCGATACCCACACCGCCGCTGGCAGTGTGGGCGGGGAGATAAGAGGAGAGGAGAGAATGGGCGCCATACGTCAGCTGGTGTTCTTAGATTCCGTTAGCTCACTCATGGGGTTCGGCAAATGTGCAAACGTTCATCTGTCATCATGTGCGGCGGGCAGAGCAGAGGGGCGTATATGGCGAGGAGGAGATCGAGGAGAAGCGCCGCGTCAGTAATACGAGTAACAGTTGAGGTAATGCGCACGGCATCGTGTCATCGACTCGCGGAATCCGCATTCAGATGGTAATTCCAATTTTCAAACATCATCTGCGGCGGCTTTTCTTATTTGTCATGTGGATGGTGCGAATGTAAACAGTCGCTCTTTATGTTGAATATATTGTGTTAAATCTGTTGTGAGAAAGTCAGTGTTTGTGCGGTGGCGTTAGGTAGAATGGAAGAAAAGTGGATAAAGGGCTTTGTTCTGAATAACAAGTCTATTAATATGTATTGCTCAGCGTCGTTGGTTCTATTGTTGGGGTGATTAATATGTTTTATAGTTTTTTTTTCGTGTACATATCTTTGAGAGTTTTTTTTTCTTGGGTGCTCTCAGAAGTTAGATTTACATTCACATAAGCAATGCAATATACGCTGCTAAACGCACATGCGCTTCTCGTACGACGGTGCGGTGATAAGTGAGAGGGAGCGAATCGCACGGCCTATAGCACCACTTGTGAGCGCTTTGAGAAGCACATTCATATTCTGTATTTTACCAGGTGCAGTGGGCTTGGCGCCGCGCCGTGCTGTTGTCCACGCTTCCAGTGCCTCGGCGGACTGGCGTTCTTTCTCCGCTGTTGCTGTAAAGCGTGAAAGCGTTGGCAGCTGGTCATTGGTCACACTGTTTCTGCCACGGCGAACAGCCGGGCTGCTTGAGCGGCGCTTCGTTGGTGACGGAGAAGGGGAGCCGTCGGCGCGCTTGACTGCGCCTGTGAGACCGGCAAGTGCCATTGGCGTTAGGGAGACAAGGATTGCTGTGCCGTCTTTATTCGCTGCGTCGTCTGTTGGGAAGCCCATTTCATCCGTTATGGGAAGAAGAAGGGGAAACGCAATGAAGCCGCGCTCGCGTAGCAAATCGAGAAGCTTCAGTGCAGTCGGGAGCTCCTTGTCAGACCTTCTGCGCGTGCCCAAGGCTTCCGTGAGGGTTGCATTCTTTGAAGTGGAGTTCCAGGACTTGTTCATATTTCGCTGTCGTTGCGAGTGGAGCGTTGAAGAAGGCGTCGGAGGCATCGGTGATGCTCGCGGTGTCGGCGTCACTTGTATACTTCTAATCTGCTGCTGACGCTTGTCATTAATCTGCTGCAGCACGAGCTCATCATCGGCGGAGCAAAGACCAAGATGTAGGAGACTCACGTCATCCGTGAGTAACATCGGTAAAAAAATTGTTCTGGTGGCATGCTGGCTAAATGTTTGACTCCGTATCAGCGCCGTATCAGGGATGTCTTTTGACCTGCTTTCCAGCTGGCGTTTCGTCGGCTTCCCCCCTGCTTCGTCACGAAGTACAATGAAGTTCGCGGACACGAGTAGAAGCCGGGGAACTGACTGAAATACGGCAGGCCCGGTTTCTAAGCGGAGCGCACGACAGAATCCCTGTGGATTTGGGCGGTACGATGGTGGCACACAGCCGTATTCCATGAGCAGCGACACCATAGGCCCACGAGCATAGTCAAATGGCGTGAGGCCGTACTTGTTGAGACGCAGCATGCTACGTAGAAACACAGCGGGATGGGTTTCGTCGTCTTCTGCCACATCCTTCTCCTCATTTGCCGCCGTGTTTTCCATATGCAAGGCCTTGTCCTGCTTCTGTGTATTGGGCAGGTCAACTGTAGAGAATTGTGGTGGCATGGTGCTTGGCGGGTCGTATTGGTAACATGTAAAGTAGCACAGGGCGGCGGCGAGGAAGTACCGTGCCAGCCGCAGCTGGTCGTTCTGCACCAGGAGGTGAAGGATCGTGTCTCTGTGAGTTCGTGTCACATAGCTGATGGTAAGAACCCGGCCATCGCTCGACTCCCAATGATTCAGCGGCCGCGACGCGGCAAGGAATACCTGCACTGCGGAGGCGGTTAGTGGGCTACGGCCATCCATCAGATGCAGCAAAGTGTCAATTGCTTTCGACGATGGATGTGGCGCACGAAGCATTAGTGTGGTGTGAAGCGCCCAGTCGCAGAGATAGTAGGCAAAGTAGCGAGGCAATTCACCTGCCCCATCGCGCGTCGTTGCACGATGAGAAGTTCGCGATGGGCCACGCGCCACCTCCGATCCTGACATCGGCATTGGCGTCTTCCTGCTACCCGACATGAGGGACCGCCCACCCTCGCGACTCACCGGATGTGGCGACCGCATGCCAACTGAATCCACAAGAATTACACTGCTTATTTTCTTGACTTCTCCAACTGAAGAAGACTGCTGCGGAGGAACGGGGGTATAATCACTTGTTTTAGAGCCGTCTTGGAGTGCCACAGGCCGTGCAGCGGCACCGATGCCCCACATCACTGCGGAGGCAGTCGTCCGCTCGCGGGCTGCCGTCATCACGTCCATGTACTGAAGCCCGGCCTCACCCGTCCCGTCGTCGGCCTGCGCCTTACTCGCGTCCGTACCGTTCTCGCTGACGGCAAAAGACAAAAGGTTTACTGTTGTGTGCCTTCTCTCCTTAATCCTTTTACTGTTCGGTTTGGGTTCAGGGGAGGCGTTCACCGTCCTATCACCTATTCTACGCGGTGTTGAGGAATGCGACAACAGCTCCGCTGCGCCACTACGCCCCGGCTGAATGCTCATTGTTGACATAGAGTTACGCGACCCTTGGTGTTGCACTTCTACACCTGCATTCTCCATCACAGCTACACCTTCAGTAAGACCCGTAACGGCGTCGATGCGGTTGTAACGGCCAGTGAAAATGTATGCGGATGTTTCAGGCAATTCGGAGAAGAGTTTTAGCACACTGACGCTACCAGCGGCGATGGCAATTACTTCCAATTGGTGTTCCTCCATCAAGTTACGCCAGACATGCTTGACACAGGTACGTAGTTCTTCAGGCGCCGTATCCATGAGATTCGCCAGAAGTGAGGCATTGTCAAAGCGAACTGATAGTTCAATGATCTCGTAGAAATGGGCCGCCATGGCTGTCAAGACGTGTCGCTGAGAATTCGGGATTACACCACCAATACCACCTCCATGAGATGTGGAAATAGCTGACGCCGGGGCTGCCACGTACACGGCCGCTGCTACAAGCTGCCTGGTGTACTGTTCCGTTCTCTTAAGAATGGATTTCCAATTGTTGCTGCTGCGGACACTCGCCGTCCTCTCCTTCAGTGTCGCTGATGCAGCAGGAATTAGAGAGGATGTTGACGAAGGCAGAAGCGTATCTACCGATGTGGATGCCAGAAAAGATGATGCCGCTTTGATCAAATAGATTGGTACAGCCGAGGCAGTGGGAAGCAGCACACTTAGGAGTGAGTTCCACTGAGCTGGCGTCACAGCCACTTCATCTAATCGACCGACATACTGGGTGTAGAGAACATTACACCAAAAAGCATTAACGGCCTCTGGCTGCATGAGAATACGCTTCACATCGTTTGCATACAACACTGCAACACGGAGGGCGACAATGGGGTGCAGATTAGAGTACACCATCGAAAGGAAGGACAACCTCGTTTCTGTGTCAGGCAGATGGCGTACAATAGTAAGTACCGTTTCCATGTCTTCTTCAGCGTAGTACAACCGCGTGGCAAGAATCATCCAGCAGTTTAAGTTTACCAAGTTTTGCCTTAACTCCACATTGATGATATGTGCGTCGGAGGAAGTATAGGTAAGGCTTGACTGGGTGCCAAACTCCATACTGATATGCTCGGTGCTTCGGTTGGGCTTCTCTGTTGGCGTACCCATCGACGGACTTCTAGTACCGGGAGACACAATTAGCGCGATAAGTGTGGTGTAGCTCATGCATGCAGCCACCGCCAGCGCGGTTTGCCCATCGTTGTGTATAAAGTACATGTTGCTGAAGTGAAACTTCCGCAGCAACTGTTCCACAACTAGCAGCAGACATCGAACGTTTGGAATAGTGAATGGGTCACGGTATGACGAGCTTTCCCCGCACGCTGTCTGTGTCGGATCAGCTTCCGATATCAATCGCTGTGCGGTCTGCACCACATCTTCACGACCTGTTTCGCATGTGAGAAGGGCTTCTGCGCCGCACTCAGCTGCGTATATGTTAGCCGCCCTTCGGAGAAGGAATAGTAACAACGTGTCGCCTGTCAGAGGGTGGATGAAAGAGGGCGAGAGAACGCCAGGGTAATGGTCAAGCAGTGACACGAGAGACTGTGGGTTGTGCTCTGCGCAGAGAAATAGGAGCTCCGCATAGTATGTGTTGCGCCGCATACGAGGGTTTCCCACGCCATCCCTACCGCTACTGCCACCACCACCATTGCCTATCATTGCCATCTTAAGGGGAAGAATAGAGCCAACCTCACTGGCGTACGGGACCGCTGTTGAAGCGCTCTCTATGCTTTGCGGCCGCCCCGTCTTTGCGGTAGCCACAGCTGTGGAGCTCAAACCCTTGTCTTTATGGCCAGCGTTAGTGTCATCCTCGTCTGTCAACGAATCGTCGTCGTCGTCGTCGTCGTCGTCACCTTCATCGCCCAAATCCATCTGCTCATCAAAAAACACCTGCAGCTTGGTGCCTTTTCCTGGCGATGCACGCACAACGAGTAACCATGCATCGTTTCCCCCTGCGTCATAGTTGCCCTGTACAACCGCCCCGTGCCGCAGTAGGAGGCGCAGCACGTGCAACGCGTCCATTCCAACCTCCGGCGCCAGCGTATCAAAATCCATACACACAAGTTCCTGCAGTACTGTCTGCCGCATATCGTCAGCCTCAAGAAGTTCCCTGTGCTCCAGCAACACCTGAACACCACCAGATGGAGGCTCCACAGACAAAAAGACCGACACCGTCTCCACATTAATAGAGCGCACCGCAAGGCGGAATGGCGTTACCAACCACTTGGAGGCGGTATGCACCCCATGATGTGGTGGTGGAACATACAACGGGTCCATCTCACACTCGCCAAGCAGGAACGCGCACACATGTGGCAATCCCAGAGAGGCGGCCAGTTGAAGCAAAGTGTAGCCAAAAGGTGATGTCACCTCCTCGGTGAGAGCGGCACCGACGAGACCCCGCTCCACGATCATGTGACGCATATCCTCCACACACTCTGAGCGGTGCCCACGAGTGCGGACGATCGAGAAAAGCTCCCGACAAAGCGTGCGCATCTCTAATAGTTTTGCCTTGGCATCGGCTAGCTGTGTGTTGTCAACGCCTTTCACCAACGTCGGGGCGACACGTAACTTCCGTGCAAATATCACTGCATCGCTAGAGGCGACCCGAACATCCCCGTACTCGAAAAGGAAACTGGTTATGGTGTCTGCGTACCGCATGGCAGTCATACTCTGCGACGTTCGCGAAGTCTCAGAGGAGATGGTATCTACCATTGCATACAACTCCTGGAGGGAGAAACCACGTTCAAGGAACTCAATAGCCTTGTGCGTGGAGGGGCCGCTACCACCCTTGGCCAAGAGCATTTGTACAAAAGTACTGCGTCGTCGCTGCCTTGCTGACCGAGGTGATCTTGATCGTTGCGAACTGCGCCGGCGCGACAGTGCTGTTCCTTGCGGTTCATTTGCTGCACTCTTCCCTCCCGCGGAGCACATTGCCGTGATGCTTGCTCTAGCAATAAGCGTCGCCGTGACGTGCGTTCCCTGTCGCTGTCGCTCTCGGCGCGCGCCGGCTGCCACGCGCGATTTTTTCCGTTGCCTCTTCTTGTCTTCCTTCGCGTCCTGAAACCCCACACGACGCCTCTCGTCCTCTTCTACATTGACGGTGCCATCCTCGCGCTGATCCATCCGCAGCCGCTTGGAGTTATAACGACTAAAAAAATTCTCGCGGAAGGCATCCGTAGCGATGTAGCGTGGGTGTGACAACAAGAAGAGGGTCAAGCCCTCAAGCCCCTCTGAGTCACTGGTAAGAAGAGCCACACATGTGCCATCAATAACTGGCCCTCCGGGGTTCGGCAAATATTCCGGCATAAGCGACGCGATGAGCTGCGCGGCCGCCTCCTGGCGTGCATGCACCGCCACAAGAAGCGGCGTGCGGCCCATACGGTTTGTCGCCACAACACTCATCGCATTAGGACGCCTCGCGAATTTGCGGATGCCACAGAGTCGTGTGATTTCCTCATCGCTGAACTGCAACATGATGTACTCAATTACTGGCAGCATGCCCTCCCGTGCGGCGTGGTGCAGGGCGGTGTCAGCATTCTTATCAATGGCGGCGATGTCCAGTACGTTAAAGCCACGCCGTAGCTTGTCCTTGGCGTACTCGAGCACTTCAAGTGCCAGATTCTCATGGCCATTCATGATCACCATCTGCAATGGATTGGCATAGGTCAATTTACTCTGCAGGTTTAGCGAAGCCCCCTTTGCAATAAGGCTGAGAACAACCTCTAGCTGCCCAAGTTCACATGCAATATGCAGCGCACTGCACTGCGAGCGTGGGTCCAGTGCGTCGATGTCCAACACGGCGAGTGTTCGCTTTGCGCTGGCATCATAAGATACATCGCTGGCTGTCTCCGTCACGCGCGATTGGTTCGAAACATTGCGGCTTGAAGCGTCTGATGACAAACTGCTTACTGCCGCGTCACAGCACTCAAGGAGTTGCAGCGCCGCATCCACACTGCCAAATGTCACAGCCAACAAAAGCGGTGTGGGGCCATCTAGGGTTACGTTTGGGTTTGCGCCGCTCTCGAGCAGAGGACGAATAAGGGAGCCAATGTTGTTCAACGCACACCAGCAAAGAGGCGACGCCACACCTGCGTGGTTTACAAGGAGTTGTGATCGGTAGTCTGGGGTCTCCAGTAACATTCTTGCAATCTCCTCGCTGCGACTTGCACAGGCAAGCTCAAGGCAGTTCGCTCGCTTCATACGGTCAAAACTGGAGGGTGAGGCACCCATTGCAAGAAGCCGCTTGGCGATCCTTGTGTAACCGTGTCGACACGCAATTAAGAGCGCCGTCTCACCGCTACGTGTCATGACATTTACTGCGTGCCGTCGGTACTCTTCAGAAAGTGTGTGGTTCAGGTAATATAGTAACAGATGCACACACTCCTGGTGACCCTCAAGAAGGGCACAGTGCAGTGGGGTGTACTCGACACGGTGCAGCATCGTCGCATTGTTGACGGTGCGACAGCTAGTGGTGGAAAATACTCTAGTACCCTTTACCACCGGCGCCGCATTTTCAGTTTCATTGTTTGTATGCTTGAGGGTGAACATTGCAATGAGCTCATAAACAGATATACGCTCAAGCAAAATGTAGAGTACTTCTTCGTAGCCTAACGTAGCGGCGGCAAGCACTGACATGCGTCTTTGCCGTATACTTGATTCATCAGTGCTACTAAAATCCGTGAATGGATGCTGAGCAATATTATAAGCCGGAATGCGCTGCCTCAATGCAAGTGCGGCGCACAGCGGCACCAATGGGGCATCCTCCGGAATAATTGTCACACCGTTTGATTGCTTATCCTCATCGTCACTGCGGCGCTTCACCAGTACAGAGGGAAAGAACAGCAGACTTTCCGAAGAGGATGTCGTGTTTAGTAACTGTCGAACAGACAAAGCTGTCACGCGCAGCGCTGATCCCAGCACGAGGGTCTCCTTCTCATTCCGCAGGATTTCGTCATCCTCCCCATCGCCTGGGAGGGTGGCTTCTGCGCAGGTGAGGAGCCGAATAAGGGCGCACTGCGTCATGCTCTCGTCAAACAGTAGAGGGTGTGTGATCGGGAGCACACCGGGGATGAGATCACCACTGCTTTTCTTCCTTTCCTCTTCATCTCCTTCTCCCTCTCCATCACTCACTTCTTTCGATGCCGTTGTTAACATCGTCGCCGGTGTCGGAGTCTTCGTCCTTCCCATAGAAAACATTTCTTCAAATTGGAGGCCATCCTGCATCGCCAGGTGGTGCGCCAGAAGTAAATCCTTGGCAAATACGAAGCGGATAATCACCGCATCAGCGGGGTTCTCGCGCTGCAGAAGCGTTGTGATTCCTTTGGAGGCCTGAAGACTCACAGCGGGCCGAAGTTCCACTGGCGACGGCAACGCAGTGAATGCAGTGCCAAGTGATGTTCCATTCACTGTGAAGGACGCGCGGCGACTGGCGAAATCAACTTGACATCCAACGACAAGAGCGAGCGAACTGTACACCGGCACATCCGTAAGCACAACCGGAACGCTGGCGAAAGCGTCGTTCCCATGCGACGAGCCACTTCCTAAAAAATCCATCTCGCTGCTTTCCATGGTCCTCCTGATTAGCCTGGCGGTAGGAACAACTGTCTCTCTCCCAACCGATACGGTAGGTGCTGTCTCGGAAGCCTCTGAAGTAGAAGACACGCGGAACGACGATGAGTAAACTGACGGCATCGACGCGTGAACCGGTGACGAGAAGGGACCACTAGAAAATTGACCCAAATCACCACCGCTTAATAGCCCAGAGTCTTCATTCAACACTCGCAACAGCAACACTGATCGATCCGTCACACTCCGCTCCGCATCCTGATCACATGACTCAGAATCCACTGACATGAAGGGAGTGGCACGCCCCATTGTGTGCCTCATTGGGCGCAGTATAATCTCCTCCGTGGAGGCACCTATTCTAGAGCGGTGCAGCACGTCAAAGGAGATACCCAACGAGTGGCAGTCACTGCCGAGCGGTGGCAGCATCGAGTGCCCATCGGCAGCCGCCACGTGCTCCTCTGAGCACCAGCCAACGAACACACTGGAGGTCTGCAGCGGCGGTGGCATGTCCTCCATGCGGCACCACGACGATGACGGAAGTGTGGCGAATGCGTTCGCTCCCGCAGGAACATCGCTGAGGAGAAATTTCAAAGAGATGTGCGCCTCGTAGTAGAAGCTCAGACCCTTTGAAGAACTTTGTGATGCTTCACGCCGCTCACGCTGACGCCGCGCGTGCGTATTTTCTGTCGGGTCCTCATCAGACCACATCGTCGTGTATTGTGGCGGAAGGCGCACAACATGCGCATTCACGGTGGATGTGTCACCCACGAGGAGGAGGTGCGCTGTTGTTGGCTGTAGTGGTGTGTACCCACACGTGCCTACCCGCCGCATAACAGACGTGCTGACGGCAGGAAGCACCGCGCACTTCATCGCCGACAGCTGAAGGCGGTCAAGCTTCTTCCTGCCGAGGAGAAACGAAAATGACGCCTCGGGAGTGGAGGAAAGCGTTGATGGAGGGCCCTGCACCTTGGCATGTGTGCTTGTCGTCATTGCAACCGAGGGTGGCGTGAGTGACGGCACTGCTGTCGCATCAGTGCTGGGTGCGTCGACTTCTCCATGCAGGGGTGCACCCTGCTTCTTCAACGAATAGCAATCCTGTAGGAAGCGGCGTAGCTTTTCACACATACTGTGCGTCAGCAAATCAGCGTTCCAATCGCTATTCATCGTCTCCAATGCAATATGAGTTGTCTCCACAAAATCGTCCTCAAGTGAACTTCGGCGCGTGTCACTGAGAAGGTCCTGCACCAGCTGCACCTCATTCTGCAGAACCCTCCTCACAGTGGACATCAGTTGCGTCACATACTTCACGTAAAACGGATCGGCGGTGTTAGGATTCAGAAAGAGCCACACAAGGAGGGCGTTAATATTGTAGAAGCCGACTGACATAAGACGCCGCAGTACCTCTACCTGTCCAGTTATCAGTGCCGCGAAGAAGATGATCCCCGTATGCTCTTTGCTCTCGAGTGCGCGGAGGAAGGAGCCAGACGGTGAAAGCACAAGCGACGCGACGGCGTCCGGGCGTCCCTCCGCGACGGCCTGCAGAACAACGTGTGACACATCCGGTAATGACTGCGCCTGCCGCAAGTGCACATAGGTATCACAGGCCTTTGCGAGCCGTACGGTAGTCGTCACGAGGTACTCGCGGGGCACCAGCTCCACAAGCTGTGCCATCGCTAGGGGATCAATAACAGTGTTGATGTACCACTCTACAAATCGGTCTCCTGCATTGTTGCCCTCATCCATCTTCAGCGCGAGCACACGGGCCGAGAAGGGGAGGATAAGTTCCTTCCGCAGCCGCGATGACACACCCCATGGCGGCAGCGGCGGTACAATGCGCGTCTCCTGGACCTTCTGCAGCAGCGGCCTAAGTGCCCGCATGCGCAGCCGCGCCTCAGGGCTGCTGCCAGAGGTGGCATCCTCGTACACCTCTTCCATCTTCCCCCCGTCCACGTTGGCCATGCGATAGTTCCGTCCCAACGCGCCGTCTTCGGCCTCGTTGGGTGCAATATCGCACTCCTCCTCTTCAGCCTCCCGCAACAGAGCCTGCAATCTCTCCTGGCGGTGCTCGAGGAACATCCGCTCTGAGGCATAGCGCTGGCGCGGACCGTCACGCCTTAACTCACGGTGCCATCGGTGGTATTGATTCTTCTTGCGCAGCACATCCTCACCACGCTCAATCAACTCATCAAGGGTATTGTAGTACTCGTGCAGAACCGCCTCATCGTGACGCAGCGCATCGAGCCTCTGTTCTAGACTTTCCAACATTACATGAAGCTTTTCACTTGCTTGCGCCAGAGCCTGCTGCTGGACCAAAAGCTCTGCGTGCATCTTAGCCGTCTGCTGTTTTGTGTAGCCCTTTGCACGTCTCTTCTTGGGATACGTTACATATTCGTGCTGTATAGATTCCTTGATTGTATCGAGGCACTGCTGGAAATCCTCCTCGCTACAGGTGAGCACATCTAGTGCTTCTTCTGCCAAAGGCGAAGTATCGTCTAGTGACACAGTGAAGGTTGCCTGCGTCTTCTGCTCCGTCGCAGGAGAATGCTGCTGAGAGTCCTGTCTGCTGGCGAGCTGCTTGTTAGCGCCGCGCATACCTATGGAGGGCAGCTTCGGTACTGCCGCCGTGACGGACATGAAGCGGAAACCACAGCCGTGGCGGAGAATATGAGTGACACTTCAGACTGTGTATGCAATTATGTAAATTTATATTTTGTGCACCTCTGTGCAAGAAAGTTGGATAGAATGATGCCCCCAGAGAGGTGTGACTCCGTTTAGTCACCCCCAAGTCTGTCGCACAACTACTGAACCAACGGCAAGAGAAGGAAACCAAGATGAACTCTCTTCAACCAGGTCAGGAGGGAAACAGGTATAATATATAGACACACTGGCACAGACACACACATACACACACACACACACACACACACAAATGGGATGAATACCTTTGGCTTTGTTTCTACACAGACTGTCTTTTTTTTTGTTTTGTTTGTGCTTTATTTTCCCTTCCCCATTTCATAGGACACGCGCACGCACACACATACACACACAGCCGTGTCCCTGAGAGCAGCGACACATTCACATCTCACACAGCAAGAAACATGAACACAATACATGGAAGCAGCTCACAACAAGAACACGAACAATAAACTGGAAGGAAGGAACCACCACGCTCTACAACCAGTCGCACACACACATACACACACACTTTCTCTCTCTCTTTCTCTCTCCCCTTATGGGTGCGACGTGAGTCCTCGTCTCCTCCATTTTATACTTCCCTTCACTTCTCTCTCGGTGTTTGTGATTCCTTCATTATGTTTCACCTCTCGCCGTCCGCCCGCATTGCTCCGTTCTCTGTTGCGTCCCTCCTTCCCACCACAACACGTGCACCTCTAGTTAGGTGTCTCCTGGGCGATTTTCGCTACGTACTGCGAGAGGCCCAGTACCTTCTCCTTCCACCGCGACACGTGTACCGCAAGTTCCTTAACCTCCTGCAGGCTCAGCACACGCGGCTCCACCCACGTGATGTGCACCTCGTTCGTGAGGCCATCAATCTTGCCCATGACAACACCCTGCGCGAGGGCCGCCAGCAGCAGCGGCTCCACACGGTCTTCCGCCACCGCACAGCGCCGCGCTATCACATCGAAGGTGAAGGTGCGCTCGTTGAACGGTGTGTAGAACACGAGGTGCAGGAGCGCCATCAGCCGCACCTTACGCATGATCGACGGGAGGGCCTCGGACAAGGCAGGGTAGGCCTCAATCTGCGCCTTGTGGGCGGCAGCGTACTGCTCAAACGCCTCCACCTTGCCGTCATTGCAGAGACGAAGCCACTCGAGTATCCACGCATGCCTCTTCGAGTTCGCCAGCCGCTCCGTGAAGTGGCTGTCATTTAGGAGCTTGCCAAAGTTGTACGTCTCCTCCGAGAGCAGCGCGGCGATGGCAGTGGTATTGACAAGTTCCATCATGTCGCTCTCTATGATCGGCATCTCCGCCCGCTCCGCACTCTTTACAGTTTCAAACGCGTTCTGGTAAAACTTCGTGTACTGCTGGCGAATCTCGTAGTCCTTTCCACGTGCCTGACAGTGCAATGCGGCTAAAACAGGCTCCACCTCATGCATCTGTTTCGTGTGGATGAAGCTCTCCACCGCGTCAAGGATGCAGCGTGCCTGATGGGCAGAGGCTCCAGCGTTCGACGATTTACCGTTATTGTTCCTATCCAATAGTAGTAAAGCACGAATGCAGCTCGCTGCATTCTCACCCTGCTCTGAGGAGTTCGCTGCAAGCGAGAGAGCAGCGCCTTCGATCAGGTCGAGTGCCTTTTCGAAGGTGCTATTGGGGCTGAAGCAGATACAGTGAAGCAGCTTCACATACGCCATGGGGGACATATCCATCCGCGTCACCTTGAGCACGTTTTCGTGAAGATCATAGGCAGACTCCAGCACAAGCGGGTCACGTATGGCCAACAGCAAATAGTCCGTCATCTCGCACCACTGCGAGCGCTGAAGCTCATCTTTTGCGCGTGCCAATACGTCTGCTGTCTCTGTGCGCCCGGCGGCACGCAGCGAGGCGATGAGGCTATCCAAGTACGTCTGCGCCCTGGTCTCCATTTGCGTGTTTGTGCTCGACCTTCTCTCTCTCTCTCTCTTGTTCCTCTCTTTGTTTCTTCGTAGGCTTGGAGTGCTGATACGGATGCTGCTACTCTCGCTCTTATGGTCGCTCCTGTTTGACTTGCCCAAATATTATTGGGGGTTTTCTTCCCGCGGTGCACAAACACACACACACACACAGCGATAGAGAGAGAGAGAGAGAGAGAGAGAGAGAGAGAGAGAGAAAGAGAAACGAAAATGAGAGAATGAAGCACAGGAAAGCAAACAGGTAAGCCGGAATTTATTTCTTACAAGAAAACAACAACACATCTGACTTAGAGAAACACCTAAAACAAACATCAATAAGCATTTATGCTTATTCTCTCCTTTGCTCCTCCTTCCACCCCCCCGCTCCTTTCCCCGCCTTCGCTTCATGTAAGCGAGGAGGAGGAGGGGGAGAAGGAGGAGCAAGGAGGATGCGCCACCTGTGCGTTGGTCTCTATCAATGTGTCATCTATGGCGACGGAAGGGTGTGGGTGCACGGAGGGAACAAGCCACTACGGCACCCATCCCTGCGACAAGAATAGTAACGGGAGCAAAAGCAGGATGCGAAGCACACACACAAAACAAAACAACATAGCACCACAAAAAAAAAAGAGGAAACAAATAAATGCAAGAGTAAACACCACTCGTGGCCCCGCAAGACACCACACCTCACTGCGGCTGCGCCGACATGCAGTACCCTCGTGCGTAGGAGACCCTCTCACTCGCGTCCCGTGCGCCCGTGTCTCTGTTTTTTTTTTTATTTTCGTTGGGTGGCGGCCAGCACCAACGCCCCCACATACAAAACAAAACAAAAAGAATTCGGAAAAGGGAGAAGCACAGTCGAGCCACACGACCGCGAGCACAACAAACACATACACTACACATACCGCCCCGAACAAAGAAGACAAACCATATGCTTCACACCTTCTATATATATATATATATATATATATATCCACTTTGCACGGTTTCACACCCATGTGAACCTCACAGCCACACACCTAAACACACAGAAAGAGAAAAAAAAAGAAGAAAATGTGCATTACGGATTCCCTTGTTTTTCGTCAGCAGACAAATTCACATGCACGCAGTGTTTAGTGAGAAAATTCTGCATGCCCTCGATGAAGAACCACATGAGCACCACCTGAGGCACACACCGCAGTGCCTCCACCTTCGCACCGGCGTACCAGCCGCAGACGCCTTCACGTGCGTAGATCTGCCGCAGGCAGTCACGCACCCCGGTGTACACAACGCCGCTCTTGCCCTGCCCGGACATGCCGATGCGTCGCTTCGCCACGTCGAGAGGAAAGGCGATTAGAATCGACGCGAGTGCCGCCGCACTGCCTCCAGCGACGGTGGCGATGATGTTCTTGTACGTCGGATGGGTGGTGAGGAACTCACGCTCAATCAAGGTGTACTTGACCGTCTCATATGTTGCGAAGCTTACGAGTATGTCCGGCACGCGCTGCATCAGAGAGGCGCCTAGTCCACGATAGAAGTTGCGCAGCGAGTTCGTTTCTCCATAGATGCAGCGGATCGTGTTGAAGATGCCGTTGAACCTCCGCTCACCAGACATGAGGCGAAGCCGCACCACCTCGCCCGGGTACACTGCCGCCCCCGCGATTGTGGCAGATATGCCGCCCGCCCCACACTTCATAACGAACAGCTCCAGCGTCTCGCCGCGGTGGTGCATCCCACCCGCCGTGCCGCCCCGCCGTGGCCGCACCCAGCGCTCGCAGAGGTCCTGGAAGAAGAACTTCAGCTGACTGTACAGCACGAATTGGATGCCGGAGTACGGCACGCGGATGATCATAGAAGTGAGGTTGCCCTTCCAGAACCCCTTCCAGCCATCCTGCTGCTTGATGTGGCGGGCGAGCTGCAGCGCGCTGTACTCCTTGTGCTCACCGAGTTGCTGCAGCACTACCACGCGCTGAAAAGGTGACAGCAGCGATTTGGCAGCCGCGCCGCCGAGGCCACCTGCCACAACGTCCACCCAAGGCGCATGCTTCTTCTCGCTCGACGATGACATGACGAATGAATGTGGACGCTCAGGTGACGCACCACGCTATTTGCACCCCGTCTCGGCTTTTTGGGTCGTCTCTCAGGGAACCAACAGCAACAAAAACTCCTCCCCCCCCCAAAAAAAAAAGGGAAAATAAATGAATCCACAGCAGGATGTGCGCTTGTGTGAATGTGTCTGGTGCCACCCTACTCGCCTCCCTTCTTCGCAACTTCCTGTTGACTAGTCTTCTCGACCACCGAAGGAAAGGAAAAAAAAAAACACACAAACAAATTGAAACAAGCCAACAAACAAAAAAGGACAGGAGACTTCGGAACCGATTTGGGTGAGATCAGAGGCAGAGAGTTATTACAACATAGGACTCGCGGTAGTCGTTTCTGTTTGACGCCTCTCCCGTATCGATTAAGGTAGCCGCACGGGGTGGGGGCACACAGCCTTCTGTTGGCGCTACATCCGCCTGAAGACGCGGAGCAACGACAAGAAAAAAGCCGGCCCACACAAAAAGCCAAAAAACACCAGCAGAAGAGACGGTAACAGGGAACCAAGATCCTCCTCCTTCCTCTTATTCCAAAAAAAAAAAAGGCGACAAGAAGGGGAGGTAGGCAGGCCCCATACCATTTGTTTTCTATCTTTTTGTGATTCCCGCAATCAGACCTTCTCTTCTTGTGCATGTAGACGCTTTCATCCGTTAGAGGACCCTGCCACTCTAACTGGGGAAGGTGGGTGGAGAATGCATGAGAAGTTGTCCAAATTTGTTGTTTCTACTCATGCGGCTAGTGTTGTGTATGTAACGAGCATGTTCGTGTGACTTCTCCTCACGAGGTGTTTATACTTATCCTTTTATTTCACTCCCGTCCTCACATTCATGCTCGTTCTCCTTCTGCATAGGAATACTCCCCTTTGTATCCACACCCATTTACCACTTCCCTCCTCCCCTCTTCTCTACCGGCGCCGGTGTGTGTGTGTGTGTGTGGCTGGGGGAAGGACGAGGAGGATGCGCGCCCGTCTACACCTACATGAACAGACATAGCGTCCAAAAAGAAAACCACATCGCTACACGCAGCGCTCCAATTCCTCAATAATACGGGGAAGGCCCCCACAAAAACAAACAAACAAAAAACGAAAATCAAAGAGAGAGCGAAGGAAAAACGCCGCCCCACCGACAGTGCAACTGCGTGAAAAGCTCTTGAAGGAAGAAAGGGTATAGGTGGTGGGGAATGTGTGCTGCTGCTCGTGGTGGAGGTGTGGCGGCCGCTGCGATATTCACTCTTCTTCACAACTCGGTTTGAACGCTCTTTGAACTGCGAAGCCAAAAAAAATTGGAATTATCAAAAGAAAGCAACACAGCACCAAAGCCACGAAGAAAAAAAAATCGGGGAAACAACAACAACAAAGAAGAATGTCGGCGTGTCAGTGAGGTGCGCTCCAACTAGGAGCTTCAACTCTACATATAATCAAGGCGGTAAACCAGCAAATATGGCATACCCTTCCTTTTTCACTTCACCTCTTTCTTGCGATCATTTCCCTTTCCCCTATTTTGATACATATTCCTCCACCGTACGCACCCGAACGCGGAAACTCACCCACACCGGACCAAGTGTGGCGAACAGCAAAGGCTAAAGCCCCTGTGTATTAGTCCAAAAGCCAGAGAGGCGTGCTGCGGCCGGAGTTACCCCCCTGCTGCACGCCGTTCAGTTCCTCATGTACACCCTCAAAATCCCCATGCACACCATTCATCTTCTGAACTCGGCTCATTTTATTTTGAATAGTGTTGCGTTCCTCCGGCATACCGTCAATCTTGTCTTGTAGGCCGTTGACTTCTTCCGTTACACTATCGGCTTCCTCCTCTACGCTGTCAACTTCTTCTATCACACTGTCGATCTCGTCTTGTACGTCATTGGAGGTTGTCACGCCTTCCACATCGGACGTGATATTGTCTAATACTGCGTCCTCTTCGACTACGTCGTTGTCTTCGCTCAAGTCTGCAGTCGGAAGCGACGCCACCTCATGGGGCGCTGACGGCGAGAAGCGCAGCCTATCTGCAGAAGCTTGTCTGCATGACTCCTCCTCCACCACCACCTGCTCGCCGCGTGCCGAGTCGGCATCTGCCTGCCGTCGGGAGATATCGCCTTCAGCGAGTCGCTGTTTAATCCTATCAATGGCAACCTTTGAGGGCGATTCCGATGTGTCGTTATCGCCAAGAGGCAACGAGAGTCGTAAGAGGCTTCCAAGGGATTGACGATCACTTGAAGTACGTACTGGTGACTCGTTTAGTTTATGGAGGGAAGCTGACGCCTTCTTCTGCCCGATAACGCGCTTTGGTTCTGTAGGATGCTGCGGCAGGGCCCCATTCTGCTCCTTCTGCTGATGGTGGCTCCCCTTCGTAAGTGATTCCCTTCGGCTTCCGGGCTTGGATCCGGCCTCCCCGCGGCGAGGCGCGAGTGGGCCCGCCCTGTGCACAATACGCTCCTCAGCCGTCCGCGGTTCGGAGGAACGCTTGCGACTCATTGGCGATGGGCGCTTCTGCTTGCTACTTCCATCAACGAGTCGATGCTGGCCCTCCCGCGACTTTCCCCGCGCAGCGACTGGTGCAGAGACAGCACCTACTCGTTGTGTAGCCGCCGTGGCCACCGTGAGTTTAGAACGGTAAATCGAAATCTGTTCATCCTTCTGCTCCAGCTGCCGGAGAAGTTTCCGAACCGTTGATTCAAGTTTGCTCTTCTCTGGGAATGGAACACTTGAGAGGTCCTCCTCCCCACTATGCTTGTCAGCGCTGCGGCCACGTTCGACTGTGCCCGATGGAACCGAAATAGAGGGAGTGAGTCTATCAATTATCTTGGCGTTCTTCTTAACGGTAGCCTGAAGCGCTAAGTAGTCTTCGTGCTTGATATCTGAAAGCCCCTCTGTTTGAATGCGCTCCTCAAGCACGCGGATGCGCTCAGAAAGGTGTGAAGAAGCATCGCGTATGGCCTCTATTTTCTCTTGCAGGCGCTGTAGCTTGCTCTGAAGGTTGATGCGGTTGTACATGCCCTCTTTGTGCTGACGGGCACGCTCCTCCCCAGCCGGGGGCTGCGACTTCGCAATTTGCGCGAACATAATCGCCGCACGTCTGTCCTCTGACATGAGGTAACGTTTGCGCTGTTTTATGTCCTTTAACTCTTCCATTGCGTGCTTCAACTCTTCATTAGCGATGGTCATCAATACCCCAATATTTAGCTTCCCCTCTCCCCGGACGCCTACAAGCTGGTGTAGGTGCCTGTTATCACGCCTCAGCCCTTCCAAGCTCTTCAAAGGCCTTCCCATTCCTTCCTTTTTGCTACTCCGCTGTGATGTTGGTGACGGCTGGTCCAGTTCCTGAATGGCCCGCTGCACCTCCTCGAGTTCACTCTTGGCTTGCGCGATCTTTCTATGCAACCGTACACAAGGTGTCGCAAAGTTGTCACCGTCTACCCCAATTAATGCCCCACTACGCGGTGTCCTGCCTCCATCGGTGCTTCTAGCTTCGGTCAGACTGGGACGCGTGTTTTTCTGTTGCAACTCGGCGTCCCTGGGTCTTGACGGTGACAAGGAGAAGCTCATTGAGACTGCGCGATTCTTCACATGGGGCGGTGTTGGCAGAACCGCCTTCATTAGTGGAGGACTATCACCTCTACTTGAAGAGGTGGTGCGTGGTGTTCGCGGCGTAACAGTGCCCGACTTCTGCTTCCAGACATGAACTGTATTACCACCGTCGCGCTGTTTCGTCTTACTCATCGGAAGTACCAATTTATCAACTTTTTGTATTCTATTCTGACTGGCTACGGGGCTCTCACTATGCGTGAACTTTGGTGTCAGCGTTTCTTTTAGATCCTTCTGCACCACTTCTGATTCCTGTGTGCCTACACTGTTTTTCCTTGAGGACGACGCTGACGCCGACACTGATGACGATGATGACGACGATGCTGCTGCTGCTGATGATGATGATGCCGATGATGAGGACGGTGGTGACGAGGCCGAAAGCGGTGAATGTGATTCCAGACCAAGAATACCACGCGGATTTGAGGGTAATGCAGTCCCGTCATACGGATCACGGACAACGTCTGGGTTGTCAGCACCACAATAGTTGTTTGGCACCTCCGGCTGTAGTTGTCCTACCGACGTGATCTTCGACACATGTAGCAGATGCAGGTCTTCCGAGTTTGCGGCGAGCGACGGGGCGATGTTCCGTGTGGCGGGGCTACCGATCAGCTGCCGCGCCCGCCCGGGTGTTGTGCCGATGATGGCAGAGGCGCCTGAAGAGCTGTCGTTCACAACAGCCTTCAACGGTAACGCGGAGGAGTGTGACGGCGATGCGTCCTTGTTGGAGGAGGAGAGGGACGCATCCGTCTTGTAGCTGCTGACGCTGCGCTCGTCAACGTCCTCAAAGTCATCCTCGTACGACTCGTGCTCCGACATGGTGAACGAGCCACGCTCGAGGGTTTGGGGAGCAGAGTTGCGAGCGCGAGGAGGAGGCTCTATCTCGCTTCCTTATCGTTTCCTTCTATAATACGAGCCTCTTTCATTCACACAGAATGAAACAACAGAATGCGGGAGAAAGCAAGGAAAGGTGCAAACGAAACACAAAACGGGATGTATACAACGCAACCATAGCCACTCGAGTAGATTCTCTCTTCCCAGATTTCATCAGAACTCCATTCTGCCATTCCCGTTCTTGCTGCTGTTGATGATGATAGTCGTAGCGGTAGCGGTGGTGGCAGTGGCAAGAAAGCTCAGGCACAAAAAAAGGCAAACAATCACCCGATGGACGTGTCTTAATGCTTGTGAAGTTATGCTTCCAAGCGCTTCGGCCCCGTCCACGGGCGTTCCAATGGACTCCTGCAGCGCGATCTGGAACATAAAGAGATACAGAGGTGATGAAATGGGAGAGTCCACAAATACACAAACGTATATCTATGGACCCCAAATTCCACCTCATTCTTCCTCAGCGCAGCAGCAGATTCTGCGTGAAGGAAGATGTGGTGAAGACGCTCTGGTGCACCGGGCCGAGTACCCGCACTCCACGCACGTGACAATCGCGGCCATTCTGCCGATTTTCTTTAATAATGATGCGGAGATGCGTGCACCACACACCTTCTCCAAGGAACTCTGCATGATCGTCGTTTCCCACGAGATCAAGTGAAGAAGTCGGAAATGATGTCCTTCCTCTTGTACCTGTTGTTGCACTTGTTGGTAGTGCAGCTGCTGTTCGGCCTCCAACTACCCCGGCCTCGCCGAGCTCCCACTGCGCTGCTGGCTCCGCCTCTGCAGCGACGCGCATAAGCACCCAACCCTGCGGGTTATCCACCGTCGCTACGGCAACGTCCGCCATATCACCACTGTGTGTGCCCGCCTGCACGCGTATCTTTCGCGGCGTGTAGCTTTCGTCCTGCTGGGAACTGAGAAAAAGCGCAACCGTCGCCACAGACGTGAGCCGCGCAAAGTCGATGGATATAACGTGCGGGAGAACACCATCAGACTGCCAGAACGTTTCGTGGCAGTCGTCGAGCAGGCACGTCACGCCGTTGCCGTGCTTGGCGGAGCTGACAGTCCATACAGCGTCATGTAACATTATGAGCGCCTCATTCTTCTCGCGCATAATGAGTTCTTCGTCGTCCACGATGCTGGGTGCCTCGCTGCTGTTGGCGTAGGAATCTTCCTCATTGTCGTCGTCTTCTTCACCACGCCAATCAAATTCCATCGCTACTGTAACAATCCAAGTAACAAAAAGAAAGACACAAACAGAGAGCGGCGAAACACACACACACACACACTCACAAAAATAAATAAATAAACCAAAAAAGGCATCAAGCCCGCACACAACAACAGCAATAATAATGACAAAGCCAAATCTAGTGACAGCGTTCCACACACACCCACCCCTGTAACAGAAAAGCGCAGATTTTCCGCACACGGTAGTCACCCACAGACGCCCATGTAGTAACGCAGCGCACCTCCAACTTTCATTAGAAGGACAACACAGGACGGCGAACAAGTGCGTCATCGTGCAGAAAGAGTTGCCACGTTGCGTGCCACATCAAACGCAACGGCGAACGAGGCACAACACTCCAAAGGAAGTACAACACCATCAAAAAACCAAATATGTCTTCAACACCAGCGCTCGGTTGGGCGAAGGAGATGAACCACTTGGCCGCATCGTACTCACACAAAAAGGAAAATGGCTGTAGAAACCGCGACAAGAACACAATGACACCATTGGACATGATATGTGACGAAAAGAGATGGCAAACAGCGTAGCTGTAGCACATGAAAAGGATCCATATGAGGAAAACTTCGGAGCCAATGATGAGCGAAAGAATGGGTGAGTAACCCTGCAAAAGCATAGAGGCGCGGCTCAAGACATTGTGAACGTAGTGCTGCGCCTGGAGAATGCGTGTGGCAAGCAATTGTGTGCGGAAGTGCTGTCGGCTTTCTAGCATCGCCTCCACCGCGGCCTCAGACTGTTTGTACACGATGGAGGTGGCAGCATCAAGGGCCACAGGCCACTGAGAAAAGCCACCCAGAACACCTTGGATGGCGACCAGGAAACAGCGGTACACAATATATATCAGAGCGAGCCATAGCGCCTGATCGCGCCATAATGTAACCACAAGCAGCCACTGCCACAATGCACCACTGTACACCCCGAGACGCAGCCCAAATAAGGAAGACGCATGACCTTCTGTTACGAAATGAAGGCGTGCATCACTCCTCGACGCCTCATAGTCTATTGGCACCAGCCATCCCCACTTGGTGAGAGCGAGCAACAAAGAACGCGACAATGGACTGATACCCAATCCCTTTTCTTTGTTCCTTGTTTCTTCAATAACACCAAAATACGCTGCTGTGGGGGCCACAAAGGCCCCACAGAAGATGGGAAGCGGTAGCATTTCATAGCAGTTCTGATGATATTCCCATTGCCACTGCAGCAGCTGCAAAAGGTGAGACGCGCTAACATCAAAGCACTCACCTTGACGGTGAATCTCTGTCGGCGTCGGCAGCAGACCCGCAAAAACAGGATTAGCCGTTTGCGAAGAAGACGTCTGTGTGGAGCAAGCATTGAAAGTCTGCTGCTGCCGGTCCTTTTGCTCGCGTGAAGAGACGAACCTTAAAATTGTCATCATAGGCGGCGGCAGCACCTCAGTCGCGAAGTTTGTTTTGGCTGCAATGCTCTCGGCGGCCCGTATTAATGCTTCACCCTCGCCATTACGAGGCACGATTGAGCCTGTGGCTCCCGCTGGCACCGACGTTGATGATGGTGCGGGTGACTTGAGCGGAGACAAGCTAACTGACGACGCATACGGTGCAATGGTAGACCTGCCAGGCGTCTGCATCTCTGTCCGTGCATCGGTATTTGTCCGCGCCGCCGCCAGCCCCGCTGCTGCTGCCATTGTCTTTGTTCTTGCTGCAGACCCTGTTGGCTCCGTGGAATGGTGTGTCTGAAACGGGCGGCGGAGTGCAGTTGCCGACCCATCTCCAATGCGGTTCACGCGGAATGGCACACGCGGCTTTCTCGCCGCTGGGATATTCCCGGGGGTAGTGGCAGGGGTGCGCGTTGCCCCCGAACACTGCGGTGTCACACTGCTCTGTTGAGTGGACGGTCCGAGCCCCAGCTCAACCGAACTTGTGCTTCTGATGCGGTCCTGTATCATGTGCACTTGCCGCTGCGCAGCCTCCGCCTTTTGTTTCTTCGCCCAACTGACGGAAAAAGCTTGAAGTGTGTTTAGCCGGTGCCGCAGAGCAGCATATGTGGCAGTGCGATTCGACAGGAAGGACATACGTGCCTGCAGGAAAGTTGGGTCCGTCAGGAGCGGCGTTGTGCAGGTCTTCCAGGCGTGGCCACGCACTGTGGCCACTGCTTGAAGACGCAACAACGCCAAACGCTGGAGCCACGTCACCGGTTTCCATCCACCTTTCTGCTGTTGTTCCTCCTCCTCATTGCTTGACGCCTTCACGGTTCCAGATCTCTTTTTCACGTGCAGGCGCTGCATGAGTGCGTCCATATACCCTACTTTACGGACCTTTGTTTGAGTCTGCGGATTATAGTTCTCGGACTCAGCGCCGTAGAGCCGCTCCCGTATCCATTTCTCTTCCTTCGTCAGCACAATCTGTCGTAGCGGCCGCTGCTGCAGAACTGCGATAAAGTCATCTAGGTTGTGCACCGCGACGCAAACACGGAGCTGTGGTTGATACGGGACGCGCAGAACGAATATTAGGGCCTTCTCCCTCAAGTAGAAGGGTTGTTGATATAGATTCAGATGCTGCAGATAGCTCTCCCACCCACCACGGAACCGCGTAGGCTTGGCAGAGACAAAATACGAAGCTCCATCATCCAGCCACGCTGCTTTGGTGAGGTCATACTCTTTGGGTGACCCCTTCGGCATGCTAAGGAATGCGTTTGCCAAGTCACGAAGGCAAAATGAGACATTAACACCGTCGGCTTCNACAAAAGGTGCTGTGAGAGACTTCAGACGACTGGCCTCTTGACTGTACGATTGCACAGATACCGATGTTAAAATCCCCGCATCCGAGACTGTTTCCTTAGCAGTTCCTATTGGCCCCGTTCCACTGCCGTCTTGCACATGGACACCAATATTCTCGGGGACGTTGGCAGCAGCGCCGATATCTACAGGAAGGGGGCGACCACACTCTACCCGTGGCCGCTTGGTATCGTTTCCCATACAGTAGTTTTCATACAGGTCATTATCGAAGGCTTCCAGGTTCGCCTCACGGCGCTGCTGCTGCTGACGCAGACGCACCCGTTCCCGCAATGTGAGACCTCGAACCGCGGAAGGAGTCACCGTGCTGCGCAATCCTGTTGATGTGCCGGCTGTGGTGTAAGAAGTTGTGCGTTTAGCCGGCGCCAACGGCGGCCTGCTCACAGGAAGACCTCGCCTTGGTGCGCTGACGCCCGTCGTGGTTGTGTTACGCCACGGCATTGCACCATATCCAACACGTGAAGAAACCGGTCGAACACGACTACGAGACGCAGGGGTGACACGCGAGGTGCGCGGCACCACATTGGGTATGCTCCACTGGCGTGACCCCGCCATGTCCATCGCCTGCACACCACGCGGCCGAACACGACTACCTTTCGGTGGATAATCGTACTCGTCAATAATAGGCATGCGGGACACNCCATTGTCATACAAGATGCCTACCCTATCAAATATTCGGCTGGATGCAGTTCCTGAGCGGTTCCAGTTACCGTTGCTTCTGCCGCCGCCGAAAGAACCAAACGTGCTGCTGTGGTGGCTTCCGGCTGCCATACCATGCCTAAGAGGGGTGGTGGGGTTTGAGCGGCCAAATGTTGAACCTTGATGAAAACCATGAAATACGTCAGGAGCACGGCCTCCAGTCCCTCTTCTCGCATACGGATTGGTTTCGTCGCCTGCCAAAAGGCCACTACGCGACATGGTAGAAACGGGCGATGCGAGTGGATCCGATACCCCGTGCGATAAAGGGCCACCAAATGATGAAGGCCTCCAAACGCTCCCGCATCGTTGCTCTGGAACGCCCGAGCGACGCAGATCGCCACCCATGTCGTTGCTTTGCCACCGGTCACTGAGCGGTGCGTAGAAGTGTGTGTCTCTCCGTATCGGCTGTTGTGGTGTGCCAGCGGCTGGACGTGGACTAAGGCGATGAGATACTTTCGCAAACGGGTCCAGCGTTGTTGTAGGCCTCGAATGCGACAGCCCGCCAAACCCCGGCACCGGTGAGTCCTCGCGCGCCACCGCTGCCCTGCCAGTGCCGAATCGCTGATCCCCACTGAAGCGGCGTCCACAATACCTCGCCGTGTTGGCAGTGCTGGCCTCACCAAACACGGGGCCTGGCGACGACGCCCGCCAGCGGTCCGCCGGCGCCTCACGGACATCGTCGGACGGAGCCATGCCATCAACAGCGGCTAACGACCCCGCACCCCCAACGCACATATGAGGCCTTGCGGTGCTGCTGAACAATATCGGGCTCCGATCTCCTTCAACCGCCGAAACGGGACCGGTTTGCCCAAGGACAGTACGGTCTGACACAGTAGGCCGCTGCGCATTCGGCGAGCGGTAGGAGACGGATCGACGCCACTCCATTTCATCAACACCGCCACCCATCGTTGCCCTTCTTCCAATAGCCTCCTCCCGTTCACTCGGTTGCGCCAAAAAACCTGCATCTCTGTTTTCAACACCAAACGTCATGGCGACGCCGCCCCTTCGAGCGGAAACACCGGCGGGCTTCTCATCGTTGCCCGTGCCAAACGTCATGGCGACGCCGCCCCTTCGAGCGGAAACACTGGCAGGCTTCTCATCGCTGCTAGTGCCAAATGGTGCCGAGGTTGAAGCAGTACCGCTTCGTTTTTGGGCATTGTCTGATTTTTCCATTACCACATTTGGGTCTCGTGGTGCCAACGCGCTTCTGTGTTCTTGGGCAGCGGTGAGAGAACGCCTGGCTTCTTCCACGGTCGGAAGAACTCCACTTGCCGTTTTGAGATTGTTGGCCACGTGTTGGTCAGCGTCATGCTTTTTTGGGAAGAAGCCCATCTGCATTGCGGTTCGATAGCCAACATCGCTAATGCAATCCGTGCTACCAAACACAACGGGCATCCATTGCACGTCGTCCTGCAACTTTGGGAGCGGCTGAACCGGAATCGAGTACCAAGTGTGATCAAGGAGACCATGACACGCGAGTACCTCTGAGTCGTCGCCCATCAAAACATTCCCCAATGGACGTTCCCCCTTGTCTAGGACAGCCACAGAAATGATTGGACGAATCGTACCATGACGCAGCTGATGCTGGGCGGCCGAGGACGTAGAAAGGAGACGGAAAAGATTGACCACTGCACCACTTCTCTGCGCATGTTCCATCGCGCTTCTACCACCCACTGAGGCGTTGGCCCCACTGGACTGCTGCTGCTGCTGCTGCTCGGAGAGAGACAAGCCCTTTTCCAGGAGGCTTTCTTTCCTATGTTTCGGATTGCCGGAGACGTCATTGCAGGACAAAGACGTTGTGAGACGCAGAAACCCGTCGGTTTTCGATATGAGTTGGTCAAAAGAGGCACGTGTAGCGCTCGGGCCCTTCCTCCGCATTGGGAGAAACGGCTGCGGAGATGGACTTCTGTCATTGTTATGGGCACCAGACTTTCTTACCGCGCCAACCGGATCAGGTGACGCTGCACGGGACACTTGATTGGACGCCACGAGCCCGTCCAACCCAACGCCCCCACCGATTGCTCCTGCTTGCTGCGTGGCCGCGTTCGTGTGGCGAACGAGCGAAATTGTGGGTGAAGACCAGGGCGCCTCTGTTGAGTCTGATACAAGCGTGATACTCACCGTGCGTGCCTCGTAAGCCGCACGGCTTGACTTGGCGTAATAGAGCGGGTTGTTGTCATCTGTGACGAGGTGGTAGCAGTCGCAGGGGGCGAAAGAATACACCAAGCGGCGGACACCAAGCGCAGAGGCGGCAACACTANCTGATCGTCGTGGCTCGGATGCCTCATGTGTGGCAGCGGTGGGGTGTACCGCACCCTCTGTTGCCTTCTGATCCTTGGCTGCATCATTCGCTGCGGCGGGAGGTGTGGAGTAGCTCCGCAGAATGGCGTTACACTTCGTAAAAAACTGCAGCATGGCCACATCATCCTTGGCGCGGTACCTCTCCGGCATCTCGGTCTTTAGCATCAGACGCATCGTCTCCTCCATGTAACTACCTGACAATGCGGTAGATAACTGTGATTTTTTGTTCGAGGAAAGCAGGGCATCGCCGCAGAAGCGCACCTCTTCTCGTTTGTCAGTGTAGTACTGCTGCTCCTCTGGCGAGAAGCGGCTTAATGGCATTTTAAAAACGGAGAACTGGAGAGATCGCGGAGCCACATCACAGTCTGCTGTTGTATGTGTGGCGGCCACATAGTGCATCATGCTGCCGTCTACGACGCGAAAACCCATCATGCCTTCTCCAACCCTCACGACGTCGTCAGTGGGCGATGATGTCGCGTAGTCCCACGTCGCGGATTCTTCTACTGCAGCTTCAGACGGCGCAAGACCACCGAAAGCGGCGCGTCTGTTCCGTGTCCCATTTGCATCCCGCTGACGTTGCTTGTACAGCTGCTGCTGCTCTTGTGTGAGTTCAGGAACCAAAATAAAGTACGTGTCGTTGTAGCGGCGACCAGCAAACCCGGCCTCCTTCTTTTCCCCCCCTTTATCATCTGCATGATCCACGTGTGCAGGATCATTGGTGGAAGATGCACGCGACGAGAGGAGTACATTGAGATGTGACGGGAGTGTGCGGCAGCGCAACTCCTGTGGAAGAAAACTCTCAGGAGCTTCCAGCGCTGCAACCTCCTCGCAGCTCAGCGTCGTCTCTGTGAGGGGCAGAGACGCAAGATGTGTGACGGCGAGCACGTACACATTCTCAAGTGTATCGTGACTTTCGTACGGGAATCGTTGGTGGAAGGCAGTGAGAAGCGCACGATGCAACACCTCTGCCCTTTCTTCCAGTGGGATGGAGTCATTGACATTGATTTCCCCATCGGATCCCCTCTCCGTTGTTCCTCCAGCCGCAGCTGATGTTGCCGACGTTGCTTCACGGCTGTAGGAAATTTTGGGCGAACTCACATGGCAAATGCCGTGGGGTAGCGCAAGCTGATGCAGACATATTCTAAAGTAATCTACTTCAGGCTCCAAGAAGAGCATTTTTTTTTCGTTTTCTTTTCTTTTTTGGATCCCCGTCAAACAAATATATATATATATATATATATATATCAATCGCGTGAAAGAATGGAGATTGAAAAAAAATTATGTTCCGTGTGATTTTAATTCTTCCTTTCCTCTTGTATATGTCTGCGTGCTTGGTTGGCTGTATTATATGAGGGGGTGAGAGTGAAGACTCTGTGTCGTATACCTCTAGTGATTCTAAAATCTAACACCGTGCTGTGTGTGTGTGGGGGGCCTGAGGATACAAAAGGGCGGAAACAGAGCAATAGATAGAAAGGATATACCGGAAAGCAGAAAGGAAGAAAGACAACAGCAATTAAATGCACGACGATGATAAGCGATAGTGATGAAACGCTCACAAGAAAATTACAGCGAGATAATGCAACGTCGTGAATATGATCTCCTTGGAATTTATAGCAACTAAATCAGATAGTCTTTCTGAGCGGAATATCTGCTGCACCACGCTTGTCTCCCCCGCCGCGCAGCCAGCGTGAGAAGCGCGAGAAAATCGATCCACACGAGCAACCTGGCGACTTAGCTTCTTCCTTGCCGCTGTTGCCATCACGCCCACTTCTTTTTGCACATTGACGAGGCACGAGCAGTGTAATTACACCACCTAACTCCACAATGGCAGGGAGTTGCTCTCGCAGCTCACCGTCTGTCTCGCAGTGCGCCATCGCCTCCTCGGTGCTCGCTTTGCGTTTGGCGGCGGACGTGTCGAGAGCCCGCGCGTCTACGTCCACAATACAGCGTGTCGTGTTCCATGTTGTGGTGCTCGACCAGCGCGTGTGCTTACCGTTGTACAGCGATGGAGCACGCGAGACGAAGCTGAAGAAACCCGCCACCCAGTTTGTCACACTCAGAAACCCGTCTGTCGGATTGGCGTGTGGTGTCACCTGCAGCCCGCCGCCAAACCACCGCCCGTTGCCGAACACCAGCGTTGAGGACGGCATGCAGACCCAGCGGTTGTGTGCGTCGGCGGAGCCCAACGCAGCGACTATTTCGTCCGGTTTCCGGGCATATTGACTCCACCGATCGGTGTAGAACGGGTTGACGAAAACCGCATCGCTCCAGCCGTTGGCATCCCGGTTCGAAGCATCACTCTCTGGCGACACTTCCGCGGCCTTCAGGCTGTAGACGTAGTAGTTACCACCGGTACGCAGCGGTTCGGTGGGCGGCAGCGCAGCGTTGCCGGCGGCCTCCCGCGCCCAAAGAAGATCACACTGCACGCCGCGTAATGCCGCATCGTCGGCGGTGATGTGCTGGTGCAACATGCCGCTGGCGACGCGACGCGTGATGGCGGCGCTTGACGGCAGGTTATCTGCCTCTGGGAGCGGGGCAAGGCGAAACGGTGTCGGCCTCATTTGCGTCACCGAGACAATGGAGGCAGTGGCAAACATCACTGTGCCTCCAGCCGCTGAGAGGACCTTGTTCCGCTTGTATTTTTCACACTTCTGAATGACGTCGCACGACATTCCACATGAGAACTCATTTATGAAGAAATAGTTCCGTCCACTGCGGGGAAATGTCACACGACCGACATCCACGTCGTACACCTCAAACTCAAATGATGCCGCTTCATCTTCTTTAGGTGTGATGCTGAAGGAACTCGTTACATCCTTTCCTTCTTCATTGCTACTCTGACAATTCGGAGTATACTCTTCCTTCGGCGAGGAGGGAGTGGGTGACGGTGCGGGCGAGAGAAGCTGGCCGCACAACCCTCTAAGTACATCGACGAACTCCATCTCATTGCGGCAGCACAACTTCAGTCTGGCGAAATCCGAGCCGGTCCCTGCTGAGATGTAGATGAGAGTAGGAAGGAAATGCCGTAATATGGACTTATCCTCTACCAGCTGCCAATAATACGTTGAGGAATAGCAACAGCTCCCAGCACAAAGTTCCCCGGCTGTGCGAGTTAATGCGCTTTCACGAAATGCCTGAAGGGTGCCACGACACATACCGTTAACGGTTTCACTCAAAGTTCCATCGCCTCCAACAGGAACAAACACATGAAGCGGGTCTGACTTGCTCACATCCGTCATTGCATGTGAAGCACGTGCAGCTCCACCCAAGCAACGACGGACGCGGGAAGCCACCACATTCCTGGTGATGTGCTCCGCGATTCGCTCTCCATGCAGGTCCTTCTCTGTTGTGATGATCTCAACGCGCAGACCTCCCTGTCGAACGTAATTAATTATTGCTTCATCTTTTGCGGTAGACGCACCACTCTGTCGTGCAGGTAGTGTTTTATCTATTAAGAGAGGAATTGTCTCCTCGGCATCCCAAGATTCAGATGCAGGGCCAGCACAATCATATTTGGGTGATAATGATGGCTGTGAGTTTCGTGGCACAATGTCACTGGCGGTTTGCACTCGGGTAACACCGTCGCAGAATTCCCGCTGCAACGCCTTTTCGATACGGCGCAGCAGCACATTGCCCTTCCCGTGGCCACTCGTCGGGTTGACGATGACCCAAACGTGAAGTCGAGACGCCGGATCCTTTGCCCCCATTGACGAGCTACAGAGTCTACTCGGGAGCCCGTTTTCCAACAGCGACCCGGACGCTTACCTTCCCTCCCCCTTCGCCCCTCCTAATGCTACAGGGAAGGAAGCCTATATATTTATATACATATATATGAAAAGCATACATCGAATCAATAAGAGAGAAAACAACATGAAACAAACATGCGTAGAAGTACAACAACAGATGAGCGTACGCACATACATACGTCTACTTGTCTGCGCGTCTTTATGGGCGTTTGTTGAAGGTGAAAAGCAAAAGATGGTCGACCAAAAAAAAAAAGAATGCAGACAACACAAAAAAGATACAGGAACTAGGCGGAGGCCGTGTGGCAGCGTTCACTCCTTCTCTCGCAATCACTTATTCATTCCCTTTCTCCCCTCACCTCGTTATGTGATGTAACAAAACGAAATAAAGCAACGTGATGTGGAGAATGATCAACGACACTACCACCGCAAAGGAAGACGAAAACAGCCACAAAGCAAAACAGAAAGAAAAG